AGTGGGCACAGCCAAGTTGGACACAGCCATGGATGTGGCTAGAACAAATACAACCAAACTGGGCATAGCTATGGATTCTCCTGTTTTGGACACAAGCAAGGTGGACGTAATCATGAATTCCGTTTTGTTGGTCAGTCCAGACTCAACCACTGGGGAGCCTACACTAGACAATGTTACCAACTTGACCACATCAGACACTGCCACCTACCCACTAAGCAAAATCACAGACCTAGCCCTGGATCAAACTACAGCAGATACTGCCACAGACTCAGCCACAGAGCTTACCATGCCAGACCTGATCAGAAAAGGTAAAGAGGTAAAGGTAAAGAGCTTGTCTGGGATTGTTCTTAGGCAGCTGGTGGGCATGGAAGGAGGAGCATGAACCTGAAGATGGATTAGGCTTGGAGAGGCTGGGAGAAGGAGGGAGGGCAGAGTTGGGCAGAGTTGAATGAACGGCGGTGAGGAAAGAGTGGAGGTGTTGAGAACAGAACACAGAGGAGATATCCTGCTCTGATTCCCCCCCTGCCAGGATGAGGCTGAGCTGAGGAAAGTCATCAGAAGGAAGAATTACAAACATACCTTGTGGTGGAACAATTATTCTGAGTCCTCCCTTTAATATCTCCCATAATTGTTCATTTTACTGCTTAAAGACTTAGAGTTATAGGTGATTTATGGTTAAGTCCACCTTGAAAAGCAAATCTGCTACATGAAAATATTGACTAGCTCTTTAAAGGTGGGGATTTGTTTAACAGAAGTGACCACTGAAGAGTGAGCTCCTCTAGGTGTCAGATAGTGACCTCACCTGTGACCTTCTCAATTCCTTCTGACTCTGCCTTCTAGGAAGATGAGTGGTTGTCTAATATGTGCTCCCCTTGCAAGTCTCTCTCTTGATCTTCCTACCCTCAGTCCATAAATCCTGAAAGGTCAACCTGAGCTCTGTATACACAGAACCATAAGTAGGTCAGCACAGGGGCTGGGAGCTCGTTTGGTCTCAGAGAGGTTGTGGTAAGCCTGAAGTCACACAGTTGGTTGCCTCAATCTCAACATTTGTAAAGCTCAGAGATTCTGGGATTTGGAAAGGCACTTGGAAAGCATGCAGTCCAATGCCTCAATTGAACAGATGGGAAAAGTAAGGGCCAACAAGGGCAGTAACTTGGCCATAGTAGAGGCAGAACTGGAGGTGTGAACATTTTTTTTCCTTGAATGCTCTCTCTCTCATGACATCAAGGATAGATGGAGTCCATCATTTTTATAGGCTTCCCTGATGCTTAACCAATAGATCAATTATAATAGCAAGGCTCTTGGTTTCTACTGAGTGCATTCACATTCCTTATTTCACTTGACTCTTACACAAGTCATTGGCATTCTCTAGTTCCCAATTTCTGCTTTCAGACCTTTACTCTTCCTTCTCCAGAAGAAAACTCATTGCTATTCAACAATGATGCCTCTTGACTCTTTCACCGGTACATCTTTTCACCACTGTCTTGCCCATGATTGTTCTCCTTCGTTCACTGAAGACTCTGGTCCCTGGCTCATTAACTCCCAAACCTTCAATGTGCCCATTGTCCAAATTCACAACAACTTATTCATGTTCTCAACCTATCCATGTACTCAATGCGTATATGGAGGGACATAGAAAAATCAAGGAAAAATTGTATTAAAAGGTAATGGAATTTTTCCATGACCTTTTGAAAACCCCCTCTTATAATCTCAATATCCAAGTTCACAACATCATGTACGCTAGTCATCCATGTACTTGACAACAATTTCTATAATCTATCTATATGCTGTGCATAAGGTTGCTATGGGTCAATACTGACTCGATGGGACCTAACAACAACAACAACCCACCCATATACTCAATTCTCTCTTTCCATACTTACTGATGAAGATCACAGACCACAGCTCTCAGCATGGATTGCACATCAATGTAAAGAAAACAAACATCCTCACAACAGGACCAATAAGTAATATCATGGTTGATAAGTGGAGAAAGATTGGAGTTGTCAAAGACCTCATTTTGCTTGGATCCACTAACACTCATGTAAGCAGCAGCCAAGAAATCAAATGATGTATTACATTAGGCAAATCTGCTGCAAAAGACCTCTTTAAAGTGTTAAAGAGCAAAGATACCAGTTTGAGGCCTCAGGTACACCTGATTCAAGTCATAGTATTTTCAATCGCCTCATACACATGTGAAAGTTGGACAAGGAATAAAGAAGACTGTAGAAGAATCCATGCATTTGAATGATGGTGTTAGGGAAGAATAGCAAAAGCATCATGGATTGCCAGAAAACAAACAAATTTGTCTTGGAAGCAGTACAGCTAAAATGCTTCTTAGAAGCTAGGATGGCAAAACTTCATCTCTCATACTTTGTATATATTATCAGGAGGGACCAGTTGCTGGAGAAGGACATCATGCATCATGCTTGGTAAAGATGAATTGATACAGTGTCAGCAACAATACACCCTAGGGTAACAATTGTGAGGATGGTGTAGGACTGAGAAGTGTTTAGTTCTGTTGTGCACAGGGTTGCCATGAGTCAGAATTGACTTGATGGCACCTAACAACAAACAACTTTTTTTTTTTTCCATCCAAAGCCTCAAGTCCAAGTGCTTGCAACACCCATGTATGCAACCTAGCCACATACTCAATGTTCATGTTCACACACCATCCAACAGTCTAGTCTTGAAATTGACCTTTACCTTCATGGTCCTCCAGTCATCCTCTAACTACCTTAGTAATCACCCAGTACATTCCACCTCTGAAATCTTCAATACCAACTTCTAGTCTCATCAGCGTCTTCCATCCTTCCAGTTCTTTCAAGTCCTTATTCCTTCAACATCTGCTCTCCAACCTTCCATTTCTAGCCTGATACGCCTTGCTTGTTGCTTTCATTTCTGCCCAACATCTGAGAAGCTATGATCTGGGAAACTAGTTCACCTTAACCCTTAATTTCCTTGACTCTCCATTCTTTTATCTCATTCACCAGCAAATCTACAACTTGGGGCCATGACTATAGTCTGACTTCTCTACTCCTTCATGTGCTGGAGAAAATCACCCCACTGTATAGATTGATGCCTCTAGAAATGGGCTCATAGAACTTCCTGTGATCATGGAAACATTCTACATTTGCACGGCCCAACACTTCGGTCACTAGCTACAGCTCGAGTCGCTATCATCCTTAAAAAACGCCACTGACCCTAAGAGCAGAATTGATTCTCCCCAAGTCTTTTCCATCCAAATGTCCTGAAAATGGCCATTGACTCCATTTCTTCACTGACCTCTGCCCCACCACAAGCATCACCCTTGGTCAGGACATCACTAACCTCCCAATTGTCCAATCTTATGGTCACCATCTACCCATTGGTCTCCTGGGCTCCATCACATTGCCTTTCTTGAGCCTCCGCTCACTCTCTCTAGTTCACTTTCCAAGCCTTTCTGATGACTCTTTCCTCCTCCCTGCGCCCAGCTCTCTTAAGTGTTGAGGTCAATGGGTTGCCCTACACTCTTCTCACCTGACTCTGTACACTCAGTCTGGGGACCTCACCCACTTTCTGATTCTCACTTTTCTCTGTGTTACCTTAGTACCTCCCTCTATCTTTGGTCCAGCCCTCTCTGTTGTAATGTAAACTTGGACAGCCTTCCGGACTCACTTACCTGGACTTCTCTTGGGCATGTCCAAAATTGAGCCTTTTTCTTCATAGACTGACTCTGACCCACCTCCATCTCACTGTCTCCTGCAGGCACTGCCCCCCGCCCCCCCATCTATTATCCAGTTCACACTAGAAGCCTCCTATCTTCTTCCTCATTCAAGCCAATCTCTTTCCCAATGCTGTTGATTTTCTCTCCTCAGCACTGTCTGTTCCTCCTCTCCACCCTCTGCTCTGCCCTAGACTAGTTCTCATCTCCCCTGGCTAGGCTCTGGCCTGCTCATGAAGCTGGACTGCCCACTTGCCCTCCACACATCTGTCACAGGGTCTCAGATATTTGAGGGCAGCATCTCCCAGTGTGACAGCCTTTAGTGACTGGCTGCCAGGGCTGAGGACGTCCCTGCTTTTTCCTATATCTCCCTGTCTGAAGTTTTGTCTGTTCACACCTTGCAGCTCTGTCCTCTCTACACTGAACGCCCTTCCACTCTTCCTGCCTGCCTCCAATTGCCTTCCCTCCTTGGCACGCACGTACCTCCTCTTCCCAGGAGGCCCACCCCCAGTGTGCCCCCAGTACCCGGTGGTGTCCCACCTGCTGCATTACGGCAATCTACCTTCTTGTCCATCTTGCCCCACCGGACCCAGAGCCCTTGGAGAATGGGGCTGGTCTTCCTCACCTCCGTGTCCCCAGGGCCTGGTAGTATGCTATTGGAACACAGGCTTGAGAGATTTTGTTTCTGATGGGTGAATGGAAGGAAGTTCCTGACTAGCCAAGGTCACAGGACTCATCTTCCCGGCCCCTGACTCAGGCTCTCCTGGAGCCCGCGCCTGGGCAGAACCGCGCTGAGCTAGCGCGACACCCCACCACCGCGTGATTCACGCGCGCGCACGGCCGCCGCCGCTGCCACCGTTCCTGGGAGCACCCCCCGCCCCGTCCTCGCCTAGAGGGTAAGAGGGCCGGGTGCGGCATCGCGGGGAAGGGACGGGGTGGGAGGTGGGCA